AACAAAAACTCTAAGGGAAGAGTAACCAAATGCATGCCCAAATAAGACTTCATAAGGGGATAGATTAGAAAGCATTAATATAGGTGTATGATTAATCAAATAAGCAGCAGTGAGTACACAATAGCCCAAAAAATACAAAGGAACTCTAGACTGAAAGAAGAGAGCTCTAGCAACATTGAGAAGATGCTGATGCTTACATTCAACAACAGAGTTTTGTTGAGGATTGCTGACACATGAAAATTGATGCAAAGTGCTAGTGGAAGCAAAAAAATCAGTAAAGCGAAGTTCAGGGGCATTATAAAATCTAAACACCTTAATAACCTTCGAAAATTGTGTCTCAATCATCTTAAAGAAACGAGGTATTATTAACAATGCACCAGATTTACGCCGCATAAGATATATCCATGTGAAACGAGAACAATCATCCACTAAAGTCAAAAAATAGGTAGAACCAGCTGAAATGGGGGTACTAAAAGGTCCCCAAACATCACAATGAATTAAATCAAATGTGGAATCTGAAACATGATTATTTGAAGAAAGTGAAAGACGTCGTTGTTTAGCCAACAGACAAATACGACAAATACTAGAACGGCAGCCATCAAAAAGACATAAAGGTTGTTTTAAAACATGAAGTCTAGCAGAAGAAGGGTGTTCCAAATGTTGGTGTCAAACATCAGCAGAAAGACGGCAAGCAAGTGCAGGAACATTAAAATTTAGCGGCAGAACGAGGGAATAAAGTCCGTTGATGCAATCAACCTTGCCAATCATCCTCAATAGTGATATGTCCCGAAGGAAGCAAAAATTACCATGAAATTCAAGTTCAAAATCATTATATTTTACTAAAGCACTCACAAAGAGTAAATGATATGTAAATTGTGGGACGTATAACACATCATGAAGAACAAGATCAGCTGATAAAGAAACCGTGCCAATAAACTCAAATGAAATCTAGGAGTGAGTTGGTAAAACAACATTGATATTAGAAGTAGGATAAATATCCAAGAAAAGGGAACGTTGATGGCAGACATGGCTATCAGCACTAGAATCGATAATCCAAGTTTGCGAACAAGAATTATCAATGGAAGATAATATCGAAAAAGAAGTACCTGCAAGGTGTGATGCCATAGGTGCATGAGTATCTGATTTCGCCACTTGAAGATGAGACTGAAGCATCTCCATTAACTGAGAATATTGAGTAGAACTCAGGCTGTTAAAAAATTTAGGAGAAGTATATGATGTTGTATGAACAATTGGTGCTGTAGCAGATTCAGCAGCCTTCTCCGAGACTGAGACTTGATTAACAGCACTAACGGGAGCGGTCGAATTAATGCTTCCATGGCTATAACGAGGAGTAGCTGAATTAGTTGTGCGATATCCAGGTGGATATCCATGAAGTTTATAGCACTTATCAATGACATGACCTCAGAGTCAACAATGTGTGCAAAAAGATCAATTATCCTTTCGACGATATTGAGCATGATGCTTCTTCGAATTTTCTGTAGCAGCAGCCATAGCCATAGGTTCAAGAGATGAACTTACAATTCTGATTACGAGTTGACACCTCTTGAATGAGTAAAGAAAAAACCTTATTGATAGGAGGAATTGGATCCATAAGTCAAATTTGAGCCCGAACAGTAGCATAAGACTCATGAAGTCCCATAAGAAAAATAATCACATATTTAGATTAAAGATATTCTATGAGAGATTTTAATCCATCACAAGAACAAGTTACCTGGGTCGATATTCAATGAGTTCTTGCCAGATTGTCTTTAATTTTGTGTAATATGCCTCAATTGACATAGATCCATGCACTGTAGTGACCAATTCTTTCCGAAGTTGAAATATGTGTGGGCCATTGCTTTGCTGAAATCGTTCTTTGAGCTCATCCCAAATTTCTTTTGTAGATCCGGTGTAATCAATGCTTGCAGCAATTTCTTTGGATACTAAATTGATAATCCAAGATGTAACAATATCATTATTACACTTCCAATCCGCTACCAGGTTTCCTTTTGGTTTTTGAATGGTTTCGTCGATAAAACCAGCCTTATTTTTCGTTTTGGTTTGTAATTACTTGCTCCAATCAACGGTTGAGAAACCAGTACCGTGGTTGGTGCTATGTAATGATGAATCAAGAAGGGATTGAGTTGAGATTCGCTGTGGTGTCTTGTGCTATAGCATTCTATGCAATTGGATCTTCTACAACTTTGTCTGCCATGGGAATTGGAGAAGATTGCTACAGATCTTGAAAAATAATGGCTGGAGATCGCAAATGGCGAAAGAAAAAAACGACGAAAAGAAAATAGGGTTTTACGTGATAGTTATTCGCTTTTATACCATATTAAGAATGAATAAACATCACTCAACCCAAAAGCTTAAAGCTTAAGCTGCTGGGTTGGGTAAATTTAATTTCCATATTGGATATCTAATACTCCCCCTCACTTGTGGGCTTGAAAAACAACATCAAGACCCAACAAGTGGAAATCATAATAAATGGGGAGGAAACAACAATACAGGAGTTTGAACACAGGACCTCCGCTCTGATAAGCGTAAAACACTCACCCATCTGTGATATAAAATCATCACATATAAATACAATTAATATGTGTAACTAACTATCTAACTAACAAGAGTTAATAAAAAATAACAAACTAGTGTTAACTAATCAGAGTTAACTCTAATAAGTATCATCTTGTTAAATTTTCTCCTTTTCATAAGTTTGGCGGTATAGTTTTGAACGCGGCCGAGTTTTGATCTTTTCCTTCTCAATTTTATTATTAAGTCACTTGATATTATAGCAAAAATAGAGATGAAAGGTTGTTGAAATTTTTGTGTTGTTCACTTATGGAGGTTGATATGTGGAAGTAGATGAAACCACTACTTTTTCTGGTATAGAAGAAAAACCTCACGTAACAATAATTAATGAATGTGTTATTTTTTATATGTTAGGTCCTCCATAACCGATGAAGTTCTTAAAAGAAGACCAAGGCATACGAACAAAGGTATTTACTCCCCCTCAACTTTAGTGGAAAAAAGTTCTTTTTTTTATGATTTTGGTTATTTAGATGATTTTTTTAGCATGCTGGTTATATTAACAATATGTAATATATGCAGATGGGAGAATATCTATTTACATCATGGAGGTTGATTTATTTACAATGACAGAACATCATATATAGGAGGGTCGATACATAAATTTGAAATCGTAGTTCTAATATGATGTCCATCCTTGAAATTAAAGAAAGGCTGAGAGAGGTAAATGCATTAGATGGGAATAAAATATACTTTTTAATTTCATATATGGATTTTGATGGAGGATTAAGACTTTTGTGGTCTGATAAGAATATTTTGGACATGTTAAATTGTGTGCTATTAAGAAAATACTACATACATATGTAGAGCACCGTAGCAATATTTTTGATGAAGGAGAAAGCTTTGTGGATGTTGAAGTGATTGCAAAAACACCTATTGCCATAAAAGAGGCATATAATAGTATAGAATTAGACGATATTTTTTGTAGTAGCGATAGAAGAATGCACATAGAAGAGCTACTAAACCTTGATTATGATGGAGAAGATGATGACGAATTGTTTAATGAAAAGTTTGCTGGTGTGTGGTTAAACTTGGGGGATGGTGGTGTAGGTTTATATTTAGAGGATGAAGAACGTGTAATTCTATGGTTCATTTAGTCACCTAAACTCAGTCATTCAATCTAATGATGATGTTGTCGAGGGATCACAAAAGTATGTTAAGTTTCATCCTTCTATGTTGAAGGATAACATAGAATTTACATTAGAGATGAAATTTGGAACATTATCTGAATTGGGAGATGCAATAAGAGAATACTCTGTCCATTCTTGACATGAATTGATTTACCAGTAAAATGAACCTTGAAGGGTTATAGTGAGATGTTAAGATGGGTGCAGTTGGAGGTTGCATGCCTCTAACAGACAAGATAAATGTACGTACCAAATTAAGTCATTATATAGTACACACTGTTGTGCTAGAAAGACAACCAATAAGCATGCAATGGCTAGTTGGCTTGCTGAGCACTACTTTGACAGATTTAGGGTTCAACTAAACATGGATTGGAAAGCAATTGTAGATCTTGTGAGGAAGGACTTTAATATTAACATCACAAGGCATCCAGCATATAGAGCAAAGAAGATTGCAATGCGTAAGCTTGAAGGCACAATTGAGATGCAATGTGCCAATCTATGGGATTACTGTGAGGAATTGATGAGATATAATCCAGATAGTTCTTGTTTACTAAGTGTGGATAGACCTCAAATTCAGCATGTAAAAATGGGTTCTTACAAGGCTGTAAACCAACTGTTGAGTAAAGTTCGTTTTTACTGCTGAATGCTCATGAATATTTGATCAACATGCATGGGTTGCTAGTATTTTATTGTTTGGAAAAATGTAAAAATACATGTCTAACTTTACTTTGTTTTAGATATATATTCCTATATAGAGCGTAAACATTTATGGATAAAATTAACCTAGAGACGTCTAGAAAACTGCTTTTACTGTTTCTTGGAGCAACGGAAGTTGTAGGAAAGAAAATCTAGATGTTCCGCAAAAAAAACTAAGTGTATCTGATTATAGTAGATTTCAATGGTGGAGCATAGCCGCAAAGCAAAAGATTCTGTTTATTTCCCTAAATCTTTTATTGTGGATTGTTCTGGATTTATTTTTATCATTTCATGTTTCTCATCATTCTTTCCATACGATTCTGTTTATATTAAGAGTAGTTCAATTTAGAAGCAAAAGTATATTTGTTTGGGCTAATTCAATCTCCACAAAGACAATTTTTATTACTTGCTACAACCTCACTTCCGCATTTGGTGGGACAAGATGAGGTCCATCTAAAAATCGATGAGAGAATTAGAAGATAACTCGAAGATAAGAAATCGGTGGATTTTATACCCAAGCTAATAGGTTGTGTTTGTGGTTACTGGGTCCCACTCCCAAGAAGATATTTTTGAGGCGAAGGAAAATATTTGTTTTGCACGCACTGCAAATTGAGTAGAGAGAATGGGGTTGGCCTCCGCGGGAGCAGCGCAGATGATTTCCCTCCATATCGGGACGCCTTTTCCTTCTCCTCTTCATCTAGTACGTCTCTTTTCACTCTCTTCTTCTGTACCTCAAATCTAATTTCCCAATCCGTTCCCCGTATAAAATTCCACTCGGTTCATTTTCAGAGAAAATGCAACATGGGCGTTTGGAAATGGAAGGTCAAGAGAGAGAAAAAAGGTGGTCAAGTTTGTAGTAGCCATAGGCTAGAGGGCGAGATAGATGAGGGTTGTGAACTTGTGAGCGGAATGGAGCTTTCAATTGGTGAACAACCCGATCGTACAGTCCCAGCTCATCTGTTTAAGGCAGTCAAGAACAATAATGGAACTGCCATTCTCCTCTTGTCTGATCTCTTTGCATTCCAAGATTCTTCCATTACAGACTTTGCCTATCGTGTCGCTTGCAACGGCTTCAAGTATGCTTCTGCTATTCCACTTTCTCATTCAACAACTTTCTTTTCAAAAAACAATTTTTCTTGTCAACATCTTTGGCAATTTGTTCTTCAATGTTTTATACTTTTATCTTTAACCTCTGGTAATAATTGGAGATTTCTTCCTTATTTGGATGTTTTGTTTCTTTTCACTCCCTCCACCTTTGAACATTTTTCTACCTTTTTAACTATCCATGAAAATTTTACTTATCATCAGCTAAGCTTTCAAATGTGCTTTAAAGAAAATAAATAACAATATAAAGAAACTATTAATAAACTATCTATTAGAACCAAATTTATTTTCAAACAGGGATTAAAAAAATTTTAATCCTAAAAGTTCTTCAAAGCATGCCTGTGATGTTTGCTGAAGTTGAACTGCAGTGTGTTACTTCCAGATGTATTTCATGGAGATCCATGGAAGAAGAAACAGCCAGTGGAACAAACTGCAAAGCAAGACATGCAGAGGGTTGCAGAAGACATAGGAACAGCAACAAAATGGTTGGTGGAGGAGTTTTCAGCCGCAGGCATCTCAACAAAGCTCGGGATCATGGGATTTGGTTATGGAGGTGGGCAAGTGATAGACGTTCTAGCTCGAGACCAGGGTGCCTGTTTTGCCATTGGTGCCTCCTTCTATGGTACTAACATAGATCCATCTCTTGGTTCCCAAGTCAAGGTTCCTGTATTACTCATCTCAGGGGACAATGACCCGCTTTGTCCAGTAAGTGTCATGAAGGATTTGGAGAAAGGGATTGGTAAAGGTTCCAAGTTGGTGATATTTGGGGGAAGAGGCCATGGCTTTTTTCACAAACCTGGATCTCCAGAAGAAGATGAAGATGCCGAGCGGGCTTTTCTTATGCTAAGAAATTGGCTGCATGATGGCTTGGTTGTAACTAACATTTAGCCAAGTGCAGTACAAATTTCGTAACCCAATTCTAATGCCACGCTTTTATGCATTTCAGCAATATGACAGATACACAATCAGTTGGTGGAATCCCCATGTGATATTATTTTTCAGGCTAAAAAAGGATCCGTCCAAATTTCTATGTTTCATATCAGACAAGGTATAACTGAAATGGTTAAGAAAGGCAGGCCTAAAGTTCATCAACCAGTGTCTATAATGTAGCAAGATTTCCTCTATTTGAAGCCATCAAACTGCCAAGCGTATGATATAAAAGCTGGTATCAAAGCATAAACTAAATAAATGATGTGAGGATTGCAAGAAGAGTACTTATTGATTTTCTTTTTCCTCTTCTGCTAACTAAACTCGGTATTAGCGACTGGAAAAGGTTACAGATGCCCACAAAAATATGCAGTGTGCATGGAGATGAATTATAATGTCTATAAGGAAAAATGTTTGTATTACACAAGGGAAACCAAACATGGGAAACGGAAGCTTGAACAATCTCAAGTAAATTACGGTTTTACATCCATTCAACCTCAAGACAGCTTGCTTCTCACACCATTTGTGCCTAATCTTGACCCTCCTGGACAAAACCCAAATGTCAACTAGATATCAATTTAACAAATATAATGTGGATAAATCAACATCTGTTTCAAAAACTTCATATTTTTTTTCTCAAGTCGACAACTAATCTATCTAAAAACAGCAAATGGTTTCTACTTCATTACAAAGATATAATGGAAAAATTAACACGAGATTGATTTCCACATGCCAAGAAATTAAAATACACGTTAAAATTTAAAAAACAAAGGTCTCAGCTAAAAGGCTGCACATTCCTAGCTATCACAACATTAGCAAGTATTATGAGTATAAACAGCATCAAAGCAACCATAATACGAGTGAACTCTGAGTTGAATATAAAGATCCACCAGCATGTTATTGTTCCCTCGAGCTTAAACTATTGTCTTGTTTTCAAATTTATCTTCTCCAGTAACATAGCAGACCTAATGAAATTATTACTAATATTATTTTGATAAGAAAACATTAATCTTATTATTTTGATAACAAACAAAACTTTTCATCACCATATTCCCCGGATTATACTCTGTGCAACTACAAATAATCCTCAATTAAGGATATACTTGGACCACCTCTGAAAGTTGGGACCTTCAATTTTGCAGACCATTTAAGGATCAAAAAGAAAAAAAAAAAAAGAAGAATGAGCCACATTAAACAATTTGCTCTCCACGGTCATCCAGCAGAAACAACACATAGGTGGCTTGGCGAAAATTTTGACGGGGAATTTAGCCTTGTGACACTTTGGGCTTTGGACCCAACCAAACAGCTCATGATTCGTTTCCACTTCCAGCTCTATTAAGTTAATTAACAGGCAAGACCTCCTCTCACACCTCTATGACAAGATATGGCGCAGCAAATACCCTAAGGAGGGCAAACTCTTTTATTGGGAACTTAGCCTGAAAGCATTATTACACATAATGTGATCCAAAAAAGGTTCATCCTTGATCTCTCCCCCAATTGGTGGGTTATGTGCATGTAGAATTCAGGGTCCCAAGGCCACCTTTTTGTTGTTTATTTGATAACAGATTCTGGGCGGGCTCTATTATTAATAACTTTCAATTGCAATGTAGCCCTTCCAAACATCATAAAGGCCCTCCTTTCCTCGGATTTAGCTGGTCATCCCTTCAAGAAAGATTAGTGATATCTTTGGCTTCAAGTTACTACAGCTTTCTTTTGGTTCTTTTTTTTTTTTTTTTAATTTTGATAATTGGAAGTTAAGAGCTTTCTCACTTATATCCACGGGCACCCAGGCCCGCCACATGGCCAGCGTTCTTTTGGTTGTTATGGCTACATCCATAACAAATTCCTCTCCTTTGGGAGTTTCACAAATTCAGTTCTAGTTCAAACATTTTCATGGTGCAAATGATACCATTCAGCTGGGAAAGGGAGTTGACAACTCTTTTATGGAAATACTCTATTCCAAAGAAAGCTAAAATCTTACCTTAGCAAACAGGACTGTTAATACATCAGAGGCTCCAGAAAAGATATCCAAACTGGGCTCTTTCTCCATCTCTGTGTGTTATGTGTAATCAAAATGAAGAGTCTATGGATCATATTTTCATTCATTGCCAGTTTGCGCAGAACGGGTGGTCTTTTCTGTTCCAAATCTTCGGTATCTCATTTTGTTTCCCAAAAATATTGATGGTTGGCTTCATGAAGTCCTACGAGGGTGGCACCTTGAGAGGAAAGCAAAGATTTTGTGAAATTGTGCAGCTAGAGCTCTTCTGCGGAATATTTGGGTGGAAAGAAACAACAGAATCTTCGAGGATAAGTCGTCTACTTTTGAAACTTTTTGTAATACGTTTCAATTACACTCTTCTTTGTGGTGCTATAGGCATAGAAAATTCTTTTGTAATTATGGTCTCTCATCGTTACTTCAAGATTGGAGAGCTATCCTTCACTAGCTTTTGGGTGGGGGATATCTCTTCCCCGACCCTTAGCTGTTTTTTTGTAACTATGCTTCTTATATGAAAGTGCTTTGATGTTTCTTATCAAAAAAAAAAAAATTACAATTCAAAATGATCCTTTGGCCTTTTTTCCCAAGAAGAAACAGATGATCTTTTAGGTAATTGGAAGGTGCTTTTCTATTAGCTTGGGGTTGTTCTCCTCCCTACTTTTGTTTTGTTATGTTTGTTTCCTATCAAAAAAGTAATAACAAAATAATAATAAATAATTTTTTTCACAAGATACAAACTTCTCAATGATTAATGAAACAAAAAATAAGAAATTGGTTTAAAAAAAATAAAATAAACGGAACTTTTAATTGATGGTGTTAAAAATACATATAGGCAACCAAAGGAGATTACAATTGTTGTTAATGATAAAAAAATAATAATTTGAAAACAGAGCAGAAAGGATACACCATGTGGAAGTGTTAAAAGTGAGTCATGTCTCAAGTCTCCTCCCCATCCTTCCTCCTCTGGTAAAAAAAAATTCTAGAATTCCTCACTCCAAATTAACCAAAGGACTGAGAGGAACCCAATCTTGAGATTGAAATAAGAATAAAATTGTGCAATTTTTTTTTTCCTTTGAACAAGATACAAACTTTTCATTTATGTATTAAAAGATATAAGAAAAAGTTCAAAGATACAAACACTCAGAAGTGAAAGTGAAAAGAAATAAAGAAAATAAAATACAAATGAACGCAAAAGGAAAGCATCCCAAGATATCAAAATAGAATCAGAGGAATAATCTTTAAATTGAGGTTGCATCGAGTACCAAAGAGATGCCTTGTACTTAGCCAGATCAAAACATTCAAACCAATCCCTTTTCTTGTTTTTGAAGAGCCGTTGGTTTCTAAAATTCAGAGAGCAATGCTTTAACTGCATTGGTCCAAAGAAGGCGAGCTTTTGGGGGAAGAAGAAATGGTCCATAAACAAGCTGCTTCAAGTTCCCTGACGCTGAGTTTGGAAAACCCCAGCATAAATTGAAGAGGTAAAATACTCTTTCCCCACTTGGCCGCAAAGGGACAAAGAAAGAGTAAATGAGCTTGGTATTCGTTGTTTGTTGAACTAAGAACACAGATTGAGGCTGGAGGAGCGAGGAAGGCAACTTTTTCTGAAGTATATCCATAGTATTCAGGTTGCCAAAGAGGGTTATCCACGAGAGGACACTGACCTTCGGACAACCTGATTTCCATATTGCAGAATGAAGCTGTTTTTGTAGCTTGTGTTCAGGCTCCAGAAAACTTGAGAAGGATTTGACTGAGAATAAGCCTGAGGATTCAAGGCTCCATTTTAGCTCGTCTTCTACTGATGAGGGAAACTTTGATGATGAATTCGAGTAGAGCTGAAAACTCTACAATTTCAACGTCTTTTAAGTTTCTTCATAAGTCAAACTTCCAATATTTTGTGGTTAAGTCCCAGCAATCCAAGACTAAACCATGGGGGAATTTGCTGACCAAATATAGATGAGGGAATTTTTCATTGAAGGGTAGATCGCCCTTCCATTTATCATGCCACAAAGAAATGCGTTTTCCATTTCCCAATATGAAGACACACTGCTGCCAAGCAACCTTCCAATGGTTGGAGATGTTTGTCCAAGGGCAACGAGGCAACTATTGGCTTTAGGGAGGGTATTTAGTTGAAAGTGTCCAAACCATAGATGCTGTCTATTACGCCAAAGGGCTTGAGGTTCATGGCAAAACCTCCACCATTTTCAGTGTGAGAAGCGACCAGATTCCAACTGGCTAGATACTTAAGCTTTCCTTTCTCATGACCTTCCTAAAATTCAGCAATATTAAAAAGGAAAATAGATTAATTATAGGCTCTTGAGAGGGTTATCTCTCTAGCATGAAACTAATGTCAAAATTTTGCTTCCCTTCCAAATCCCTAATACCTATTTATAATCATGAACTCTAACAAACTCGAGTAATTACAAACATGCCACTGGTAATATCCTAATAATATTCTCAATTTTTCCTTACTAACGTCTAACTAGGTTCTTTGGAATCCTATAGCCCATATAGTGCGACCTTTCAAAACTGATGAAAAGATGTAGTCCTTTATTTTGTTATGAAGACATCAAGAAAAATCAAATCTATTGAATTAGTTCCAAAACCATAGATGCTGTCATTATGGTACGCCAAAGGACTTGAGGTTCATGGTAAAACCTCCACCCCATTTTGCAAGAAGAGCTTTATTTTTAGAAAATAAACAACCCAAGCCAAGACCACCATTTTCAACGTGAGAAGCAACCAGATTCCAATTGGCTAGATGTTTCAGCTTTCCTTTCTCGTGAACTTCCTAAAATTGTGCAATATTAAAAAGGAAAATAGGGTTATAGCCTTTTGAGAGGTTTATCTCTTGCACGAAACTAATGCCAAAATTTTGTTTCCCTCCCAAACCCCTAATGCCTATTTCTAACCATCAACTCTAACAAACTCTAGTAATTACAAACATGCCACTGGTAATATCCTAATAATATTCTCAATTTTTCCTTACTAACATCTAACTAGGCTCTTTGGAATCCTAACACCCATATAGTGCGACCTTTCAAAATTGATGAAAAGATGTAGTTTTTATTTTGTTATGAAGACACCAAGAAAAATCAAATCTGTTGAATTAGTTCTGAAACCATAGATGATGTCTATTACTGTATGCCAAAGGGCTCGAGGTTCATGGCAAAACCTCCACCCCCATTTTGCAAGAAAGAGCTTCAGTTTTAGAAAATAGACCACCATTTTCAATGTGAGAAGCGACCAGATTCCAATTGGCTAGATGCTTCAGCTTCCCTTTCTCATGAGTCGTGACCTTCCTAAAATTGAGCAATATTAAAAAGGAAAATAGATTGGTATTAGCCTCTTGAGAGGATTATCCCTCTCGCATGAAACTAATGCCAAAATTTTGCTTCCCTTCCAAACCCTTAATGCCTATTTATAACCATCAACTCTAAGAAACTGTAGTAATTACAAATATGTCACTGGTAATATCATAATAATATTCTCAATTTTTCCTTGTTAACGTCTAACTAGGCTCTTTGGAATCCTATCACCCATATAGTGCA